GTTATGTGTCACAAAAGTGGAGTTTGGGGTCGGGCTGTTTCTATTGAACTAATCCCATATGTTCTGTTGTTCACTTAACGTGGATTTCACTTAACACGACCCTCTGTTCAATTGACTGCTGCTATGGGGCAATAACTGTGTGTGTGTGTGTGTATATAACATATATATATATATATATATATATATATATATATATATATATATATATATATATATATATATATATATATATATATATATATATATATATATATATATATATATATATATATACACAGTCAACCTCACTTTACGTCCCACATTCCGCTTTCCACGTGCCCTGCCAGAACTCAGGATGCCTGCTACATTCTCATGGTGGGTGTACTCTTTACATCGGTGAAGTATATAATTTTATTTAGCTCATAAAATTCATACAAATTATTCGCCAGAATATAATTTACATTGCTGAATTTCATACTTGATGATTTATTGAATATAAACATCATAGATTTGCATTAGACATACAAATTTTAGATATATTGTTTACCTTGAGTAAATATGTTATCTTTTGTGCAAAAATATATGATATTTATATTCGTAAAATATTCCTGGCTCACATGAATCCAGTACGTCAATTATATTATCCTAACTTTAGTCTGATTTATTATTTATTACTAAAAAAAGGTAAACACTTCAGCTCCCCACATTTATCTAGTAGGAATGCTGGTGGGGGTGGGGAGGGGGGAGAATCTGCCACCATCTGTTACCGTGTGAAGAATATTTTTTTATTAACTGAAGATTTTTATTTTAGCTCTAAATTCATACAAATTACCCTGACAGAAATATAATTTATATTGCTAGAATTTATACTTGATGATTATTTATTGATAAACATCATATATTTTGCATAGACATAAAATTTTAGATATAATGTTCACTTGAGTAAATATGTTATCTTTGTGCAAAAATATATGACGCTTATATTCAAAAAATATCTTACATGAATCCAGCAATGTCAATTATATTATCCTAACTTATTTGAGGCATAATTTATTACTATACCTGGTTTTCCAAAATTTCTCAGAGGGAAGAGCCAGCAGTGTAGTGTGAGAAGAGGAGGGAGTGTGTCCATTATTTGAATGGACATTAACTTATCACTGTATTTATTTCTTTAAGTATTAATTGTGTGTGTACCATCATAAAATTAAGATGTTATTTTACTACAATATAGTTATGTGTCGCCGTGCAGAGCTTGGGGGATCGGCCTGACTCCATTTCACTAATCCCATATGCAAAGACCACTTATGCTGCTTTTCGCTTCACGTACTCTCCGGGTTACATTAATCAATAAAAGGAAAGGGTTAACTGTAAAGAGAGAGATAATAGTATATATATATATATATATATATATATATATATATATATATATATATATATATATATATATATATACATATATATATATATATATATATATATATATATATATATATATATATATATATATATATATATATATATATATATATATATATATATATATATATATACACACACACACAGGTATATGAAAATTGTGTGAATATAACTGAGTAAAACAAGTGAAGAAAAAAATAAAATTTATCTTCTCAAAATTACTTAATTGAAAAATAACCATAACATACTGCTCAACTTGCTGACACTCGTTGTCGCATGAAGAAATGTTTATTCCCTTTATGTTTTTGATCTTATGATAATTATTTTCATATTGTTTTTGGCACATTCTGTGTGTAGGATTGTGTGTGCATGTATCCGAGTAAAAATGTATTTAGAAAGTTAAGTTTACCCACCCAAAATTATGAGAAGTAAAATAATAACCATAATGTACCTTACAGCTTAGCTCGGCCTAATAGCAAGAGGGCTAGGGGGATGTGACTAAAGATGTAAAAAATATATATATATAAATAAATAAATAAATAAATAAAAAAAAAAAAAAAATGGAAGAATTTTTTTCTCAGAATCTTGTAGTCAGAATTTACATTTTGAGTTGCTTCCTCAACACAAGATATCAGTATATCAGAGATATTTACATAATTTACACATGAAGTTCCATTCATTTCACAATAACTATTATCAAAAGTAGTATTATATCCCTGGTTAACGAAAGCACAACTGCCCAGCAGGTTGCTCATTAACCAAATCATTGTTTCAATGAGTTTGGTGATTGGTTCCAGCTCACCGAAAAATTGCCAAATTCAACAAAAGGTAGAAAAGTTCACTTACTTTGAGGTGTGTATGTAGATGGCTCCTGGATGATGATGATGATGATGATGATGAATTTGAGAGGGAGGAGGAGAAGGGAGAAGAGAAACAAAAAAGGTGAAAAGTTCACTTACTTTGAGGGTATTGTATGTAGATGGCTCTGGATGATGATGATGATGATGATGATGTAATTTGAAGTTAGAGGAGGAGGAGAAGGGAGAAGAAGGAAGTGGGAGGTGGTGGAGAAAGCATTTTACTGCTTCTTAGAGGTGAAGTCACCTTCCATGAAAATATGAGGAACACTCTGGACTGACAGATTCTCCACCATGAACATCCTCTCGCTAGCGATGTGGAAGGCTGAGGATAGCATCTTGTTCCTCTGCCTTTACTGAAGAAGTGTCAGTGTGGTCTTTGTGGGCATCTGTCCTCCTCACCATTAACTTATGTTTTAAAGAAAGAGACCACTGAGTCCTCAACATGACACAAAGTTAGTTCAGTTTTCCACTTCTAGGTGCTTTGAAGCCAGTTCCTGAACTTCTCCCAGTGGTAAATCACATCTTTCAACTGTTTAGCGGCTTATATGGTCATCACTTTCAATTTCCTCCTCACCACTGTCAGCCTCTGCCTGTAACATCTCATCCAGTTACTTCAAGTCATCAGGAGTAGTTCATCTCATGCTGACATCTGCAGCTCTTCAGCATCCTCCTCCTCACTTCAAGGCCCAATGACTGACCGTGGATACAATCTCCTGGTCCAACTCTGTTTCTTCCTCAAATCCCTCCATCCATGGACTTCTTTAATTAAGCCCACAGTGCTTTCCATGAAGAATTGAGGGATCCTAGTGAGGCTCACTTGTGATGACACAATCAATTTTACAGCCTCCAGGATGCTGAATTGTGTCTTCCAGAAATGTTTCAGTGTTAGTTCAGGATCATTGGAAGTTGCCTATGACACCTACACATTTTCTTCATGTACAACTTCTTGAAGTTGCTGATCACATTCTGGTCCATTGGCTG